TTTTGTTTTACTTAAGCATGTATATAGATCTTATGAAGATTTTAAATATATAAAGCGTGGTCAATAGAACTTAATTTTAGTCACCTAGCTTTAGATTCACCAGCGAGCCGAAGGTCCTGGCAGCCAGTGCTCCTTTTTTCGTGTAAATAAAATAATTGTATTATTTTTTTTTTCACATTTATAAATAAATAAATAAATAAAGTGTGTCAGTTTTGTGCTTCTACCAATTGTCGTTAGGTATCTTGGATTGTAATAAGGTAGCCTTGCGAAATTGAAGTATATCGTCACCGGAAATGCAAAATAACGTAACAACATTTTCGGAAATTTACAGTGGCATGAATGAAACACGAAATAAAATAGAGCATGATTCATACAAATTTTTAATATTGGTTAAAACTGATTTATATCTGAGTGCAGAACCTGAAAACGTTGAAAATATGTAATATGTACGTAATAAGACACTCAATTTCGAATTTTTTGATGATACGTTGTTTTGCATTTCAGGTGACGATATGTACTTGCAGGTTCAATATATGTTAGCAATTTAATAATTCTGGAGCCACTAAGAAGTACAGTAAAAATGTTGGTCCATTGCTTTTCCATATTTTCACATTTTTATAACACTTATATTGTAATTTTTTTTTATTATTATAATGGATTTAATCCCAATTTTAGCTATTATTTCTTTTGACAATGGAATTAATTCTTATATCTATAAATGAAATAAATGGATTCAGCCACTACCAGTAGTAATTTTAGCATTTTGAACTTTAACAGCGATTAAATAATTAATCTTCAATATTTCTCCTTTTTTAGACGATCATTATGACAAGCATCCAAATGAAGTAGTGAAAAATGAGGAGTTGACCTATAATAGCGGGGCAGCGTCAATGAAACCATGGTCTTTTTGGATGACCATTAGTACAACAACAAGTTGGCTTGTCTTCAATATATACAGATGGTTATTGAAACGAATTAGAACCACAGGAGGTATATTGTTGCTATCGAGATTTTCCAGCCACTGTGAATACGGAGAAAGATCACGGACGGCAGCACAACTACAGAGCGAGTATATTCAAATAAATACTAAAGTGTTACAACTTTACCTGCAGTGCTTTGTAAAACTTAAGAATTTAGTATTTAATTACTACGTTTTAATTATCTCTATCAGTGTAACAGTTGCTGCAACTATATATGGGATACAATTTGATATACAAAACACAACAATGAAAGGTAAAACACCTCAATTAAAATTATATACAGCAACATGTGGATCAAAATCAAGTTCAGCTGTTAAATTTGTAATCGCGACTCATTTTACACTCGCCATATTTAATTCAAAAGTAAACCGAAAACTTTTGTCTATATATTTGCCTGGGTCTGTTAAATCCTTAAGATGTTATTCCGCAGATTTTATTGTCTTATTGGATGGCATAGGTGCATCTCCTAATGCGTCTACTCCTGTGACTATTTCTGCCTTTAGTTCTAAATTTTTACTTATAGTCAGGCGAGAAAAAGACCAAATTGCATCAAATACCGGCTTTCCGCAAAATGCCAGTCTGTCACTGATCAAAAATTCCCGCAGTCAAATATCTAGTGTTAGTGTAAAAGTGAAAACATTTCGGTGAACATTTTAAGAGAGGTGTATTTTAAAAACGTTCCATAACCTTAAATTAAAGTTAATATTTAGAATTAACCAGCTTCAGCGTTAAACAGGTATAAAAAATTAAATATAATATATTGGTGAAATGTTCTAATATTTGTGGATACATGGTAATTGTGTTGTATATACATTTGCACCTATCTCTACCCTAGCTTCACCGCATGTACATATATTACTGCTATTATAAAAAGGTTTGATTTTTATTGGTTTACCAAAACAAAATTTCTTAAATATTGTTCTTGTTCTTTGTTAGATGATTTGTAGAAATTTCTGATGATATATACTAAATATGGCCGCCAAAAAAGGGCAATGATTTTTGCTAATTCAGATTAGCTAAGGAAACAGAAATGGTGTGGGATTTTATTAACAAAATGCAAAATCTTCTATCGTTAAAAAGAAAAGCTTAGACCGCTAAATTCTAAGACAATTAGCAGCAATTTAGCCTAAATAAACTTTTTGATGAGAAATTTAGCATTCGCTACAAACCAAAACGACTGATGTCAACTGTTAAAAAAAAGTAGTACTGTCTTAAAAAGTCTTTAAATGTTGAATAGATTAATTAACATTTCTGTGTGTAATAATATGTACGAATATGTATATTACTTCGATGCGGCGTTGTCTTCTTTCAGGTAAGGTCACAAGCTGCAGCTGTCATAAAAAATGTTTAAGTCCATAATTTTACCTGTTACATAAAGCCCACCACCACCAGATGCGTGTGGTGGCACTGTATATGCAGTCTCATTATCATAGCCACGAACTGGCAAAGCCGTATACCATGTTCTGACCAAAACTTTGAAGTGACTGAATTATATATAATCTAATTGGAGATTTAAAAAAAGAAATGTTTTTTAATACCAAAAGAGTTTTCATATTTTAATGTTTATTACAAGAAAGTATTGTGATGTCGTATTTGCTTGCAACAGTCATCTTGCTTTAAATAATTTTCATTTAATGGAAATAATGGACGCATTTTTTTGATATGGGAAGACCACAGATGGTTGCTGAAAGACATTGAGAAATCGGTCGTTGGCGTGCTAGTCTACACTAATTATATGATTAATTTTTCTAAACGGTAAATCTTTTGATTATTGAAGTCGATTGAAAGGTTTATTCAGATGCATTGCTTTAAATTCATTTGTTTGTTTACACTTCTTTCTTCGAATTTTATTGTATTGTTAGAATGTATACACTACCATTTGATTCCCTTTCAGCAAGCAATTGCTAATCTCCAAGCTTATTTATACCCACAATCGTTTGGAAAATGACTATAATTGTTTTACCATCTGATCAAATTTGATCAGGTTTGAATTCATACAACATCCGGTGTGTTTAACGTTTACCCACACGGCGCCACAGTAGATCAAAGTAGTGTGGAGGGCCATCTAAATCCTCTGTCTTACTTTGGGTTGCAATGCAACTCCACATTTAACTGACAAAGTGTCAGTTCTTCCCTCATTCGATTTTTAACTACAACCACCACAATACTTTCCGAAGAGCCAGCCCACATGATAAGATTGGAGCAAACTCCCAAGAGCTACTGTTCCCGGTGGTGACTGAAGTAAGTCTCCTGTCAGACCTTGTAGCCGAAAGTACTACCAGTTGAGCTTCCTTACTGCTCAGGACTGGTGACCAGGGCTTCGACCTCATACGCACGCCCCATTCACACAAGAAGATAACCCAAGTTAAACGCCTTCGCGGCCTAAACAATTCACGCGAATACCTACCCGAACATTTCGGCCTTCCAACTAGTGGAGATTACACCGCTAACATCTAAGTGTCCATTAGTCCAGCGAACCCACATACCCTCAAGATAACTTACCTTCGACTACATCGGGCAATTCGCAATCAACATGAAAATAACGACCGAGCAACATTATCAGGTGATAATGAATTTCGTTTTTCAGTTACAATGTCTCTAGCAGACGAAAAGAGCCGCTCGCTCTCAACAGACGTAGATGGAATTGGCAAATAACGTCGAGCCATCAGAGATAACAAAGGATATTTAATTGATTATTTTTTCCACCACTGAATAGGATCATCCCAAGGAGCAATATTTTCCGAATACAAGTATGGAATAAGTTCTTGATCAATGTCTTTCTCAAGTCGCAAAGTTACTGTTTCCTCTCTTTGTCGCTGTTTCATGAAGTCCCAATAGTTTCATGTTCATTTTCAAAAACATTGTTCGAAAGTTTATAAGCGACAACATAAGCAACAATTTCTTTTTTTATAACATCCTTCATCTCATCAGTTAAAAAGTAATCCCGATAACGAGGATCAAGAAATGTGCATTTACGATATAACGTATCGTAATTATCTTATCCGTAGGCATCTGAGATTTGTTTTCACACGTTGAAATTTCTAAGTCCTCATCGTTATTATTATCATCGTAATCACTACCTTCATCATTAAAGTTATTCAGAATAACGTTTGTCTCGTGATCGAAATTTAGATTTTCTGGAGCTTCTTTCATCGCTTGAATGATCAATCACAGAGATCGTCGGGTATCTTGATCCACAAGAAATTTTAGTGGGCGCATTCAAAGGATCTAGTCAGTGCCAGACAATCCAGTTACACTTGCACTTCCCGAAACCACAACGGATAATGGTTGCTGCAATTTTTTCATGCGCTCAAGCATATCGTAATCCGAATTCCAGCGAGTTTGTACTGATTGAATTAATTTTAACGGAGTTTTATCACTTGAAGCCTTTTGAGCATTCTCAAAGTCTCGTCGAGCCGGGTCAGATTGGTGGAAGTGTGTGAAAAAATATGTTTTCAATATTTCTGATTAAATTTGGTTCAATCATAAACAAATTGAGTTTCATAATTATTTTTAAGTTTGCAATCCTTTCAATTGAAAATTAAATATACAAATTACAATAAAACCTTACTTCATCTTTTTTTTTAATAATTTCTCAATTCCTTTGGTGTGTTTTCGGCAATCTTTTATAACCAGTTGAAGTGTATGCGCAAAACAATAGATGTGATTCCAACTACTTCGACGGATAGCATTATAGATATTAGCACCATTGTCAGTAGTAAAGGAAATTGGAACATTAGGAACATCTAATAAATTCCATTTCAACATCATTTCTTCAAATTGTAATTTAATACAATTTCCTGTGTACCGATCTTCAAGTTGCGTTAGGCCAATACTCAAATTTTTCAATTGGAAATTACTTGTCATGTAATGTACAAATGGCAGACAAGAGTTCTTTTTGGTTTTGTGACTTGCTAACTACCAGGTCTCAGCTTTGAGGCAATATTTTGAGACTAAAGCTAGAGACTGTTTAGTGAATAGTAACATTGAGATTTTACCACAAAATGTCTCAAATAGAGACTGGTTATAGAATCCCGCTACTAATGATATGTAATGATGCCCAGATCTTGACTTCCAGCCATCGGTAGTGAAAGATAAACTCATTAAGCCTGATGCTATATAAATTTTTCTGTGATTTGTTCGTATAAGTTAGGACAGAGACTATGGGAGCAAGTAGTACTTGAGGGCGGATCATATGTACAATCGAGTCTTTTTAATAATCTTCGAAAACCTTTATCTTCTACACAATAAAAAGGTTTTATATCAGTTGCTATCATTTCCATACGTAGTTGATCTAGCTCTGCTTCAGTATGTGGCCCAAGTTTCTGGCGTTTTGGCGATTCTTCAGTACTTTTACTTTCTTCTGCAACTATACGTTTTTTTTCATATTTCAACACATTTCTGATATAAAATAGGATGATTCGAATGTAAATGCTTTAACATAGGTGGCGTAGTAGCATAGTGATTAATTAATATAGATATATAGTATATGTATGTATAAGTCAGAAAATAATAAGAATTGAAAAATAAATAGCATCATACATGTTAGTAATTTTAATACTTTCGAGCAAGTATTACATATTGCTTTTCGGTATCTTTCAGTACAGAGCTTAAAAGCATTCTTAGCAGGACTGTGTTGAAGACACAACCTCATTATCACCTCCCACACCAACTTTAGGTTCCACTTCCACAATCACACTTTCCTCTTCAGAATTATGGGAAGACATTTAATGAATTAATAAAAAAATAACCAATGTTTGATTTTTAAATATTTGAAACGAGAATGACAAATATACGTCAGATGCATGAACGAGATTCTGATACTACTGGCGCTAATTAAAAAATCATGCAAATAGTCAAATGTTAAAATGATTCGAATAATGCGAATATTCGGGTCGAATCGCAGATCGAATAATTCGGTTCGATTCGCGTTGAATAACTCGAAATGTCGAATATTCGCACACCCCTATGGATGCCACAATATGCATAAACAAACGTACTTACGTGTAATTTTCTGTACGAAATTGAAGCACAATAAAATCAAATATTTTTCAATTAATTCACAACAACCGGAAAATTTTACGTGGGTACCTGCTGACGACAGCCTTACTCCACGGTACTCAAAAGTACAACGGATCAAATCAAAGCGTTGATCAGCGCCCTGAAAATGCCAGGCACTTTCAGTACCAATTGGCAGTGTGGAATGGACACACTAACCACCTTGGTAGGGTTCGAGGCCTATCTAAAAACCTC